ACAACTTTAAAATGGGCCCAAAGGGAAATCAAATGATAAGGTACTGCACTTTAACCTAACTATGATACTCTCCCCTAATCGACTTGATATCACTGTCTGTCTGGTGGCAAGGCTATTTGCATCCCTGGACTATGGTCAGAGGGATCCCATGTGGGGACCCTGCAAGTGGACTTTGAGCTTCCACTGTCATCCCTCGCCTTTTGCAAGTCAGGTGTTCCCAATTTAAGTTCTGATACCATCCCCTCTTCTGATCTGGCTTTCGTTATTTACAATCCTTGAATCACACGGGCTAGGGTGCTTCTTTTATACAGACTTGCTAGATGCCTCATTTAGATGACTGTTTGTTTGAAAACAAGCCTTCAGGACCCCGGATGCTATTCTTCCTGATAGCTGTGCACCATCTGGTTCCTTCACTACAGCACCCCTATCTTCAGATGTCTGAGTGCACCGGACCCAACCCTGGTGTTTTCCACTGTGCCATATACATGTGCAAGCTGAACAAGGAGAGGGGAAGAAGGGATTGACAAGGCCGTGGACGTCCCGAGTAATGAACAAGTTTGTCTTGGAAGCAATACTGTTGGAATGCAACTTAGAAGGGAGGATTGTAAGATTTCATCTCGTGTATTTTGGTATCATCATCAGGAGGGGTCTGCCCCTAGAGAGGGACACTGTGCTTTGTAGAGGGTAAGACCAAAAAAGGAAGGCCCTCAACCAGATGGGTTGCTGCAGTGGCTGCAACAAGGGCTCAAGCATGGCATTAACTGTGGGGATGGCGTGGGGCTGGGCAGTGAGTGTTCCACTCTGGTGAACTCCTGTACCCATCCAGAAGCCATACTATCAGTCAGAACCCACGGGACAGTCCCTGATAGCAGCAAAAGCACAAGCTACTATGGTGAAGGACGTTCAAGGCATAACAGCTTGGACCCCAAGCTCAAAGAATGTAATCTAGTCCTAAGAATAGGTCATATGAGCAAAGCAGAACAGGTTAAAGACCAGAAGGAGAGTTCTGTTAAGCATGCAAATGAAGGAGAGCTTATATCTAACTGGGGAGATCCAGGAAGGCTTCCTAGAAGAGGCAGGCTCTGAGATCAGCCCTTATTAATGAATACTGTTGGACAGACATATATCAGCACTGGGTATTCTGGGCAGAAAGGATAGACTAGACGAAGGCATAGGAGTGAAAAATGTCATTATTCTGCCTAAAGTTCGTGAGCCATAATGAAAAGTAATGAAAAATCAGATGCTGGAAAAACCACTTACCTATCAGTTCAAGACTGACTCCGATGGTTGGACAACTCAAGCCATCTATCTCATCAAACTTCATTTAGAGTGTTATCCTTTATAAGAGAAAAGTGATAACGCCTACTTCCCAGTGAGCAGTCTCCCTCCTCTCGTGTCATAAATCCTCTCCACTATTCCTCCATGCCAGAGACACAGAGGAGTCTCTCTGTAAGTCAACTCTGAGCGAGTTAACCAATCATGAAAGTGTCCAGCGAATGTTTACAGCCTTCAGGTTAATTCGAAAACTCCACCACCTGGCCTACAAGACCCTCCAGGTCTTGTCCTTCCTCACCACTCTCTTCCCTCCTCAAGAGAATGTGGGGTCATACTGACACACAGGCCATTTCTCAACACAGTCCTACTCCTTCACACCATCGAAACATTGCCCTTGCTAGACCCCTTCCCTATTTAGCTGGCAACCAACAACTGACGCTTTGACTCAATTCAAACTCACTTCTCCGAGAAGATTGCTCTGACCCACATGGACTTGTTTTGAGCCTGTATTGCCCTTTAATTCTCTTTCCTCCCTCGCTGCCCTATGAACCGTATGAGCAGATCCACAGCTAATTTGTCTATGCAGCCAGGCTAGCCACGGACCTGGGAAAAAGCGAGAGAATTTCCTTCGTGTGCACTGAGTGAATGAATCAATTGTATGAGTGAAATGAGGGCTAAGCAAGAAACAGTTTTATAAAATGCACAGTGTGATGTAAACGTCAGCTGTGGAAGAATGATTGAGGAAGATGTGTAAACGATAGATCCTTTCATCAAGAAATCTCGAGGCACTAGGCAGTCCCTGAAGGTTGAGAGGACTCCTGTCTCTCCTGAGGAGCTTATTTTCCTGGCGACATGTTGGATGAGCACCAAGTATCACAAACGCTTGGAGCCCAGACTCTAAAACAAAACGGGCTTAGCTGTGATTCTCATGTGTTACGTGGAATGTTTCTGTCTCACCAAAACCCTTCCTCCACTCCTACAGCCTCCATAAAACTGGCTGGA